AGAGCCACCGTCATGAACCATGACAGGTACCATAATATATCTTGTTACCTTTGAAATATTTGCCCATGCCATCAAATATAGTAAAATCAAACCATACAAAATGGAATAAAACCATTCAAATCAAAACAATGAAAATGATATAGGACTTTAAAAACAAGATAGGGAATTAACAATGGCTACCACCCTCTGTTCTTAGAAGTCTCCTCCCCTTTCACTTTCATAATATCTGTGGTACATTTTGGATCCCACTAACTCCTTCAGTACTAGGGAGGCAATGTGATGTTCACCTATGTGAGTCCAAATCACTTCACCCAAGAGCATGAGCACAAGTTGCATCCACTTACCTAAAAGAACCTTGTGATTATCCTTCTTTATAGCTGATAGCTTCCCATTGTATAAAAATGCCATATCCTTCTTATCCATTCTGTGATTGATGGGCAAGTTACCCTTGGTTTTTTTCTGGTTCCCTGTCATATGGAGCATTGTGTTCTCTCCTTTGGCTTTCAGTCCATCAATTCCCTTTTGAGTTAATGTGTTTCTTGGATACAGCATATTGATGGATCTTGTTTCTTAATATACTCCTTCTTTTTATTGGTGAACTGAGGCCATCTACATGAATATTACAGCCAATGTGCACTGGTAGATCCCTGCCACGCTTTTTTCCTGCTATTGGCTCCCTACTTTCCCCCTCCACTCAATTGCCAGCCCCACTTGGTGATCACCCTGTGCTGCTGTTCCTAAAACCATGGCCATCTTTATCTCGTTCTAGAATATTCTTCTGTACTTTTTGTAGGGTTGGTTTGGTGGTAACAAATTCCTTCAGTTGTTTTTTGTCATGGAAGTCTCTTATTTCTCTATTAATTTTGAAAGATAGTTTTTCAGGGTACATCAATCTGGGCTGGAAGTTTTTTATTTCAGGACTTGAAATATTTCACTCGCAGATGTTTTTGACTTGACGGTTTGGGATGAGAATTCTGTCATTATTTTATTGAGTTTTCCTTTATAGGTAACTTTTTTCTTTCTCTAACAGCCTTTAATAATCTGCTTTTGTGCTGAATTTCTGGGAACATGATTATTATATGTCTGGGCGTAATTTATTTTGTTATGGCTAGTTGGAGTTCGATACGCTACAATTATCTGTATGTCACTTCTTTTTCCCATGCTAAATAAGTTCTCTGGTAGTACTTCTGTAAGTAGTCTCTTTACATCATTTGTGTTGATGCCTGCTCTTTTTTTTCGGACACCTATCAGTTTTGAATAATTTGTCTTTGCATCTTCTTGCAGCAGTTGAATTGCTATTTCCTGGGTCCCTGTTATTTTAAAGAGATCTTTCCTTTCATGATCACTAGCTGTGATCCTATTTTCAATGTCTGAAAGTCTATCTTCAGTTTCTTTCATGCAGCTTTGCCAGATTTTGATGGAGTTTTTAATTTCCTGGATAGCTCTTTGAGTCTGTTTCATGCATCCCAATTCTTCTCCATATTGTTCATTCAAAGTTTTCCTCATTTTCCTATGCTCTATTTTTTTAATCTATGTCTTCTTTAGATACACTCAGCAACTCTTTTATTATGTTTGTCATTTCTTTTTTTCCTGAGATACTATTTCTGATCTGATTTCTTTTATAGCCTCATGAAGTATTTTCTTTACTTTAATTGCCATCATCCCAGAAACTTCAGGAGTGCAACTTTCTTTCATGACCATGTCTCCTGCTCTGTTTGGACTGGAGGCTAAAGGTTGCCTTTTGCTCCTTCATCTTCCTGGGTTCCTCTGGATAAGTGGGCTGTTGAGTCCCAGGCACTTCCCGTGTTGGCTACTCTTCCACAGTGTAGGAGGATGGGTCAGGCACCTGGGTTTTTCCTAACCCAAGTTCTCAGGGAGGCAGCAGGGTACAGGGTGTGCTTCTCCAGACACTCATAGCTTCTCCAAGGCTTGGCTGGCTGGTTCTCCTGGCCAGCACTGGCTATAGGTACCAGGTTGCAATGGCAAGCAGCATGCTTGTAGGGACAGAGCTTGCTCTAGTGTTTTCTTTTATTGTCTTCTGTTGTATTTATTGTTTTAATATCTACTATTATTTGCTTATACCATCTAAAAGTACCTCATGTTTTAACTTCAGAAATCCAACTGATTCATTGCTCTTTTATATGTCTTAAATACATAAAATGTATATATTTTGTATTTGTTTGTATAAAATACAAATGTATTTCTTGTTTTTATCTCTTTCTTGTTTTTATCATATTTTTCTACCAATTTTGAGCTTAGTTTGTTCTCCCTTTGTAACTCACTATAGTGCTATGGTTGATTTCTTACTTGGCTTCCTCCTACTTTTCTGTTGTTTTATAATCTACATTGAAGGAGATTCCATGGTGTTCAGGAATAAATGCATTCTTCCACTCTTGACAGACTGGGAAGTGCTCTATCTGTATGTTAAATGTGCTTCGTTAATAACAGAGAGGAAATCAACCAAAATCAATTGATTTTGGTTGGAGGGGTTCTGGATTATTTATCCATTTCTGAGTGAGGTCTTTAATCTCTGCTATCACTCTTTTGTATTCTTTCTGAAAGTATATTATATTGGATTTGTAGTTTTGGGTCCTATGGTATTGAGTGCATCTATATTTTCCACCATTAGATACTGCTGTAAAACTGGCTTCTTTGTGATTATGTAGTTTCATTGCTTGTTCTCTTTCAGCTTTTGTTTTTAAATTTATTTTTATAAAAGTTGTTTTATATGACATAGGCAAACTTATTCCTGGTTTCTTTTAGTTTCAATTAGTGTGGAACCTCCTTTCCCATCACTGAGACTCACAATATGATCCAGCATGTTTTCTTTTTCTTTTTGAAATCTATTATCTTTTAATTGGTTAATTTCATAAATTTTCATCCACAGACTTTTATTTAGGTAAAAATTATACTCCTGGGATTTTGTTAGTAGTCTTCGTCTTTTTTGTAGTTGTTTTCTTTTTGTCATCTTCATTTTGTAGTTTGGTGGTTCTCAGTAGAGGTCAGCACTGAAGGCTTTGTTTTTCAATTTTGTTCAACATTTTATTTGATATTACACAGTTTTCAGCAACGTTATGAACCATTTTGGTTAGCAACTACTTAACTTTGGTTGAATAAAAACTGAAATTTACCCTGGATCCATTGTATACATATTTTTTTCTTCCAATAGATCACTGTATTTTATGTGTCCTTAACAACTGAGGTTCATGTATTTTTTGTGGTCCATTTACATTTTGAGCCTTTGTACTATGAATTTGAGAAAAATGAATACCACTATTAATACAATGGAACATGTTCAATTTGAATATGAATTTCCCCTTCCTTGAAGTTTGTTAGCCTTTGAATGATAGCTTTATCACAGGCATAAGCAAAGAGAGGGAAGATGTAGGAGACGTGAAAGCCCTTAGGCCAGCAGAACATCTCATACTTGGGGCACAATGGCTCAGGACACAGGTTTGTTCTCCCAGGCCTTCAGAAAAGCAAGGGGCTGGAGCTTTCTCCGAGAGTCCACTGCTGAGTTTCCTACAGAGTGGAGAACGTTCACACTGCATCCATTCCTGGAGTCCCCATTTCATTTATTTCAATTTGGCATTATTTTTATAATCTGAGGTGCTCTGATCATCAGGCATAGTTTCTACCAAAATGTGCCTTCTTGTCATGACAAGTTATAGCTGTCCATGACACTACTGTCATGTGCATGGGAAAGACAGTGCTCATGCAGCTCCTGGACACCCTGCCCTTGAGCTCCCACCGACATAGCCTGGTGGGTCCAAGGAGGACTCACACTTTGACACATACATGAGATGTTACCTAAAGGATAAGTCTAGAATTATGTGTTCACGTTGGTTATCACGTTGATAACCATTGTTGATAACCTTGTACTCTGTTCTACATCATGTGCTATGTCTATCCTTGGTTTTGACTGACAGCTTTGTTTTGCCATATTTGACTTTATTCTCTCCCCCCCCAAAAAAAGTAATAAGAACTAAGGAGTAATAAAATCCAAAATGTGTAAATTTTGTTGTAAAAAAGAGAGGAAGGGAAAAAAAAAGAGCTCTAACGGATATAACAGCAAGTGTGTATAGGGCTGTTAAATAGCTGACTATATTAATGTTTTTGGATCATTGAACAAAGCTGTACAAGTCGGCAATAAAACCATTAACAGAAAAGGAGCAAATCATAGTTGAATGAGGAGATGGTTCATCAGTGAAACTGAAAAGGAACTTGACCGATTCCTTTAGAAAAATTAGAGTGGAGAGACAACAGGCAAACCTTAAGAAAGGTAGCAAAATCCAGACTAGATCATAAGAGCATGAGAATGTATACATTAAAGAAGGATAAATTTGAGTCATTTGTAGAAAAATGAATGCATCTTGGGACCATAACAGTAAATGAAATGAATCAGACACACAAGCTTACATATCACATAACTCATAGTTTCTCTTATAAGAGAAACTCACAATATAAATAAATTAAAAAGCAAAATAAAAGATACATAATAAGCAACAGGGAGATTGATGTTTCACAAAAGGAAGGTGACTAGAGGTGGAGAGAAGTGGAAGGGACGTGAGGGAAGGGCATAAAAAGGATGTAAGGGATGTTTTTAGACCAAATGGCACAAAGGATGCAATTGCTATGTGCTGCAAACATGCACTAGTAAAGATCAAAATTAAGAAACAAAGAGAACCTGAATATGTAAAGAATGAGGGAGGAAACTGACCCAATATTTAAAAGTCCGGTGACAGACAAGAGACCAGGATGGGGAGCTTCACTGCTGAGTTAAGAAAATTATGAAAGACAAACTAATGATGTTATTTGAAGTTATTTCAAATATCGAAGAGGAATGATTTCTCTACTTTGTATCTATTTTGAATATAAATGTGTCAATACTCAAGCAGATGGGATACAGGAAAACACAGTGATGTCCTTCTTCATGGTCAGTTTCATCCAAACAAATAATAATCAAAGAGAACAGAGGGACATCAAAGTATCTCAGGGACACCAGCATCCCTTGCCCTCCAGATCAAACACACACCTTCGATCACCCTGCACTCAGTCTCCCAGCCTTCTCCTGGCTCACCATAAATATCAGGGACTCCTCACTCCCCACACACCGGGAGGGATCCTGCTCTCCTCCAGTGACCCCAGCCATGCGGACCCTCGCCCTGCTTGCTGCCCTCTTCTTGTTGGCCCTGCTGGCCCAGGCTGAGCCAATCCCAGAGAAAGCTGAGGACATCACAGAAGAGCACTCAGAGGATGAGGACGACTACCAGAAGGCCTTCTCCCCTGAAGATGCTGAGACCTCTGAAGAGGCTGGTACCCAAGGTAATGGAGGCATGCACCCTACAGATGAGGGTCCAGAGGCAGGCTATGGGAGCAGGTCCAGGAAGCTCTGCCTCACTTAGTTGACTGTTTTGAACTTCTATGGGCCTTGATTTCCTCACCTGCAAAATGAGGAACAGGAGCAAGCTAAATCAAGAGATGTTCTTCTTCCAAAGATTTTTGATTCTTTCTCAAATTCAGTATGTTTACCATGTACACAAATGTACAGACTACTTCTTTCTGTATCACAAGGGGTAAATAGTTACAGAGAATATTTTTCTCTATTAGGGGAGATTTTAGAAACTAGAAGACACTCCTCCAAGGACCAAACCAAGACTAACCCTAACCCTAACCCCCCAGGGCACAGGCCAGGACCACGACCCCGCCCTCCACGGCACAGACAACATCCCTGCCCTTTGAGCCTTGTACCTGGACAAAGACCTCATCTCCAGGACCCTGAGCTTGCACAAGCCAGCCCTCTGAGCTCTATACTCAGACCACAACCAATAGGACCTGTCATTATCCGCCCTATACCACCAATACGACCTCCCCCTCGGCCTCCTATATTACCTCGCCCTCTGCCTCCTATACCTGGACTAGGACGCCAACCCGTGCGCCCCAAGCCAGTTGTTATTGTTGGACCCCTTAGAAAGCAAGCCCAGTGGCCTGGAGAAGAGGTAAGCCTCCAAGTTGGCTGCTTTGGGGAGAAATAATCGGTGGGCCATCAATGCTAGCTCCATGGAAAGCCCACGGCTGGGGTAAACTAAACACAACAGCATGGGGTTTACCCCCCCCCCCCGCAAAAGACTCTTCTTCACAGTAGGACAGATTTCCAGAAGAAATCCAATGCTCTGCCTACTGTCCGGACAGAGAGACCTCAATCAGGCACCACTGTGGGAAAAGGTTGGCTGGCACTGAGCCACAGAACACCTGGAATACAGCATGCCGTGTTTGTACAGCTCAGTTTTCATAGCTCACCTTGGCAATGGCCCATATTCCCACCCACGGGTGAACAGATAAGGAAGATATGTACCTGCTCTGAACAGGGTATTACTCTGGCATAAAGAAGGGCAAACTTGAATCAGTCAAAAGTAAGCGAATGCACCTTAAGACCACAACATTAAATGAAACAAATCATACACATAAACTTAAATGTTGTATGGTTCTCTAATATCAGACACCAGAAATATAGAAGGGAGTAAAATAAAATACAGGTACTAGGAAGAAGATAGATCTTTTTCAAGGGGGAAAGGGAACAAAAGATGGAGGGAGCAGGAAAGGAGAAAATGGGGTGTAAATAAATAAATACCTGGAGAAAACTAGAACCAGAGCATTTTGAAATGGGAAGGGACCAAGAGTCAGAAGGAGCAGGGGAAGGAGGAGAGGGGGAGGGGATGAAAACAGAACTAAGATGCACTGTGTACGTGTAAGTATACCGTTTCCAGAAGACAAACACCCTCAGGATACACTGCAGACACGTCCGCACAAATACAAAAAGAAGAAACGGGGTCAGGTGTGAGCATCTGCTCAAACCTGTGCATGCTGGGTCAGCACAGAGCCAGACAGGGTCAGACAGGGGAGGCATGGACCCCACTCCCGTTGGTGTACGTTCCCGGGCACAGCTATGGTTTATATTTCTGGGTGTGGCAGTGCCAATATGACAAACATTCAACTCAGCATGGACCTCCCTAGGGCTCTGCTTACCTGCCAACCCCAGCATTCAGTACTCAGTGTTGTGTTTGTGTCCCCAGGAGCAGCAGGGAATTTGATCAGAAGCTGCAGAAGTTTGTAGGCACAGTGCTCAGGCACAGACCTGGAACCTGCATATGTGGTCCTACACACGGCATACTCTGCTGTCATTCAGGATGAAAAAAGGTCAGCATTGACACTGATACCTACGGAACCCTTTGTCAACCTCTCCTTGATCTCAATGTTCCTTCTCTATTTCAAGTAAATTCCTTGCAGCAAGTCCTCTGTTGGTGTTTCTTGATGCTTGGTATGTGTCTCAGACAGAAGGACTTACTTTAAAAACAGCTCTTCTAAACAAAAGCACTTAGTGACAAGAAAGATCCAACAAGGCTCATCCCTCTGCCTCCCCGTCCTATCTACTAACTCCCTCTTCACTTACATCATACCAGCTGTCCATCACGGCCCATCGTCATTACAGCCAGGCAGGCGTAACCTAAATACTTGTCAGAAAAGCCACCGTCCTCTTCATGACATGTCAGGGTTTTACCGAAAGGCCAAGAGGAGTTGTTTGTCTTTTAGACTAGGGATTTTATTGGCTCCACCGAATCAATATTCAACATAGAATGATTATTTTAAAAAAACATAATGAATAAAAGAACAAGGGTTGGAATCCCACAGACTCTATTTGACTCCTTATGAATAACCAGGACTGCAGGATTTGATACATAAGTAAAATTGATCTTCACAAACAGAAAAATGCAGAGAAAAACCCTCCTCCTGCATGTTACAACTTGCACACCCCTGAGTTGCCTTCAAGCTGCTGAGACTTTGACATCCACTGCAAAGTGAAGCCTTGAAGAGTTTCCTAGGGACAGTGAGCAGGCCCCAGAAGTTCCTGCATGCAAGCAAGAGTCCCCGTGTTGTCTCAGGGTGTGTTACAGTCAGGGATTGTACACAGAGAACAATTAGAAATCAGCACATGGAGTTTATAATATTTTTTTAATGGTCACCAGGAGTAAACACAGGAAAATGCAGGAAATCTATCCACAACACTAAAGAAATAGAATATTTAGTGAAGGGCCTAAATCCCACTGCAAGGTTCCACATGAGTCCAGATAATAACCCAGAGCTCATGACAATGCCTCCCACGAGTCCAACTGGAGGTCCAGAGCCCACAAGAAGAACTCACATCTGTCTCTTTTACAGATCTGTGCCGCGAAGGCCCAAAGGTCAGCAGTGGAAGCCAGAAAGTCCATGCCAGTTGGGTGGAGGAGCTGTGCTGGTGGGATGAAGGTTCTCTGCTGGAGCCAAGGAGTCATACTCACAACAAAGACCAGGGCTGTTCTGAAAGGCACCACAGCCATCCTCAGTGCCATGGAGGCCCTGAGCTTCTCTGACTACAAACACAGTCGGGTACATGCAATGAAGCTGCGTGCCAAGTTCATCCTGGAAACCAAGAGGCACACGTCATCCCCTCTGTAGCCAGGAAGCAATGCCCAATGTGAGGACCAAAACTTCTCCAGTAGAACCAACAGCTCAAAGAGCAACATGTAATAGAACCCACAATGCCACAATTCCACAATTCCTCAACGCATTAATGCCTCAACGCCTAAACAACCCCTTCGTCTCCACCTATTTATGCTTGCAACTCCTCTCAGGTGGAGCATCTTCACTCAGTGCCATGCTGATGTAATCCAGCTGGGCTTAAATTGACCAGCAGTTCTTAAACTATTACAGGGTGTAAGGCTCTGATTTCCAAAGGATCACACGTGACAGGGCTTGCAGGCAATAGCATAGACCTGACCCAAAGACAGCCATAGTACTGGACCCTTAGCTCCATGGATACTGCTCAAGCTGGCCACAGCCCCCCTTCTGCACTATCTCCAGTCGCTCTCCACAAACCGTGCACAGCATTTAAGGTTTACACCCTAAAACTTCTGTCCTTCCAGGCAAGAGCTCAGGGTCATTTGTAAACATTGTGTCTCTGAAGGGCCAGTGCGATGTTGGTGAGGTTTAGTGTGTGTTATGGCTTGTTTTGGTGCACACCCCATCCTCATGCAGTCATGGAACTGGCTGAGTCTAGTGTTTGTGATTGACTGGTCATCTAGCACTGGAATTGGCAGTGTGAGTGCTGTACCCACCCAGGGTGGGGAGAGATGGTATACGATATGAGGGACAAGAAACTTGTTTCCCAATTTTGTTCTGGCTACTTTTACTGACTGCCACCTTGAAGTGGCCATGGCACCCTGCCTTGGAGCAAGCTGATTATGCACTGAAAGTTCCATAAACAGTGAGCTAAATAAACCTTTCCTTTCTTCATTTTGGATGTTGGGTATTTTGTCACAGCAATGAGAGAAAAGTAACCAACACAGTATGATTCTTCCTGCTGTCTGAACATTATTCCCTCTCAAGATACTCCCTGGCACGTGGCCACTCATTCCCCAGTTTCTTCAAGTACCTATCAAAGGATGAGTTTAAGCTCTTGATTTTTAGTAAAGATTCATTTTACCTGCTGTACTTCAAGTGCTTCCAGCTAAGGATTCCATAGAGAGCTCTAGCAAAGGAAGATACCTTACCAATCTATGCATGCTCGACTTACCAGGAAATTTTCCCAAAATGTGGTACAGAGACAGACAAAATATAGTCTGCAAGACAACGGTCAGCATTACAAGGGAGATAATTGAACGCACTTCACTGAAACTATCTGATGGGCACAGACAGAGCTGTGACCACCAGCATCATAAACACACACATACACACACATTTTCAATACTTCCAGAGACAAAAATCTGCCTTCCTGTTTCCATTACCCCCTGCATTCTGGCTCTGAGGAGGGTTTCAACCCCTAAGTGAGTAAGTGAGCAAGGTTCTCCAAGATTATGAAGTACAGATAGAACAGGATTCCACACCCAGAATTGTGATCACCTTGTGACATTGAAACACAGCAGGGACACCAGTGAGGATAGAATGAGTTTGTGAGGCTGACACAGGGGTGGACCAGGTCTTCCACTTGTGTGGACAATGAAGTAGATAGGTATTGGGGTGGGGAAAGGCACGCAGTCTTCTCTGGGCTCCTGCAATTGCCACCAATGCAGTGTTGCTCTGTTGAGCTGGTAACCAGAGTCAGGTTGTCACTCTGGCATGGAAATCTCCAGGTTCACAATAAGCACAATGTGGACCTTTCTAAGCACAGATTCTAACCTGTTTTCCCAGCAATGGATATGCGCCTGTTATTTCCTTATTGGTAGATTAACTAAAGTAAGCACATAGCCATGCTTCCCAAACTCAGTATTTTTTCCTCAGAATATAAAACAGATGAACAAAAGAAAACTACTTTGAAGAAAGTATCCCTCTGGGTTGACTAATACTCTAGACTGTCTCTAAAATTGTGCTTTCACATCAGCATCTAAAGACTACTCTAGAATCTGCTACCATCAATACCAGGATACGTATGATTTTAACTTGTACTTCTCCTTCACATGACAGGTGCAGAAGCAGATACAGGCTAAATCACCCAGTTTCAAAGTCCTTCGTGGAGGGGGTAAAGAGGATACTAAATCCTTCAGGTTGCTGATTCAGTCTGGTGTCTGGTCACTTTTTCTGGACAGAAAGAAAGTGTCTGGACTGGCTCCTGCCAAACACAGGCAAGATGGCTCCACTCTGGACCTGAACTTACAGTTCCAAGCTCAAGGCACCCCTCTTTGTGTCCTTCCTGTTTTAGCATTTTCTGTGTGTTTAGGGTCTTTGTGATCTCAAGTGCCTTTCCAATGTCATTTCAATATTATTACTAGATCCTTCTTGGAACCCCTCCTACACATGTGCTGTGTTGACGAGACTCAGCACCCCAATGCCATATGTGCCAACAAAATTTATATCCAGAACACAGAATTCGAGTGATAGCTCCAAACTGTGCTAGATCTGAACCCTCACACAAATGCATTTCCTCAAAGGTAAAATAAATGTGGTTTTGTTTTGCAGTTTTATAAGGAGTTTCTAGTCGGAGCACACTGTTGGCATCGATCCCCTACGATGCAATTTTAATATCCTCCAGCCTTGTGAAAAGAATGAAATGATCTCTGAACATTTCCTAAACACACAGAACTAGGCATGTGAGTTAAGATTAGGTCATCATCCATGAGGGAAATCATGGTAGTCCTGAATGTAATGAGGCTGCAAGAGTCTTTATGAAAAGGAAATATGTGCATCATGTAGTTTATGCTTCTTCCCTGAGAGCTGGATGTGAGAACCGTGTGCCCATCAGGACAGAAATGGCTCTTTGGTATTTGTATGTATGTGAGCATGGGGGAAGGGAGACATGGGGAGATATGGAAGGCGGCAGCGTGAGCTTCCTCTATTTACCTCAAAGCTCTCAGATGTTCTGCTGGCCTAAGGGCTTTCACGCCTCCCACATGTTCCCTCTCTTTGCTTATGCCCGTCACTACTTGATAAGCTATCATTCAAAGACTGACACACCTCTGAGGTGCTTGGCAGTATAACTACTTATCTCGGGTCACATGGATTCTTTGTGGTACAGTGGGTTACTATTTTATAAGCTAGGATTCCCTAGTTTGCAAGGGTGAACACATAATTCTAGACTTATCCTTTAGGTAACATCTCATGTATGTGTCAAAGTGTGAGTCCTCCTTGGACCCACCAGGCTATGTCGGTGGGAGCTCAAGGGCAGGGTGTCCAGGAGCTGCATGAGCACTGTGTTTCCCATGCACATGACAGTAGTGTCATGGACAGCTATAACTTGTCATGACAAGAAGGCACATTTTGGTAGAAACTATGCCTGATGATCAGAGCACCTCAGATTATAAAAATAATGCCAAATTGAAATAAATGAAATGGGGACTCCAGGAATGGATGCAGTGTGAACGTTCTCCACTCTGTAGGAAACTCAGCAGTGGACTCTCGGAGAAAGCTCCAGCCCCTTGCTTTTCTGAAGGCCTGGGAGAACAAACCTGTGTCCTGAGCCATTGTGCCCCAAGTATGAGATGTTCTGCTGGCCTAAGGGCTTTCACGTCTCCTACATCTTCCCTCTCTTTGCTTATGCCTGTGATAAAGCTATCATTCAAAGGCTAACAAACTTCAAGGAAGGGGTAAATTCATATTCAAATTGAAAATGTTCCATTGTATTAATAGTGGTATTCATTTTTCTCAAATTCATAGTACAAAGGCTCAAAATGTAAATGGACCACAAAAAATACATGAACCTCAGTTGTTAAGGACACATAAAATACAGTGATCTATTGGAAGAAAAAAATATGTATACAATGGATCCAGGGTAAATTTCAGTTTTTATTCAACCAATGTTAAGTAGTTGCTAGCCAAAATAGTTCATAACGTTGCTGAAAACTGTGTAATATCAAATAAAAAGTTAAACAAAATTGAAAAACAAAGCCTTCAGTGCTGACCTCTACTGAGAACCACCAAACTACAAAATGAAGATGACAAAAAGAAAACAACTACAAAAAAGAAGAAGACTACTAACAAAATCCCAGGAGTATAATTTTTACCTAAATAAAAGTCTGTGGATGAAAATTTATGAAATTAACCAATTAAAAGATAATAGATTTCAAAAAGAAAAAGAAAACATGCTGGATCATATTGAGAGTCTCAGTGATGGGAAAGGAGGTTCCACACTAATTGAAACTAAAAGAAACCAGGAATAAGTTTGCCTATGTCATATAAAACAAATTTTATAAAAAATAAATTTAAAAACAAAAGCTGAAAGAGAACAAGCAATGAAACTACATAATCACAAAGAAGTCAGTTTTACAGCAGTATCTAATGGTGGAAAATATAGATGCACTCAATACCATAGGACCCAAAACTACAAATCCAATATAATATACTTTCAGAAAGAATACAAAAGAGTGATAGCAGAGATTAAAGACCTCACTCAGAAATGGACAAATAATCCAGAACCCCTCCAACCAAAATCAATTGATTTTGGTTGATTTCCTCTCTGTTACTAACGAAGCACATTTAACATACAGATAGAGAACTTCCCAGTCTGTCAAGAGTGGAAGAATGCATTTATTCCTGAACACCATGGAATCTCCTTCAATGTAGATTATAAAACAACAGAAAAGTAGGAGGATGCCAAGTAAGAAAACAACCATAGCACTATAGTAAGTTACAAAGGGAAAACAAACTAAGCTCAAAATTGGTAGAAAAATATGATAAAAACAAGAAAGGGATAAAAACAAGAAATACATTTGTATTTTATACAAATAATGTAGAAAATATATACATTTTATGTATTTAAGACATATAAAAGAGCAATGAATCAGAGTTGGATTTTTGAAGTTAAAACATGAGGTACTTTTAGATTATATAAGTAAATAATAGTAGATATTAAAACAATAAATACAACAGAAGACAATAAAAGAAAACACTACAGCAAGCCCTGTCCCTACAAGCATGCTGGTTGCCATTGCAACCTGGTACCTGTAGCTAGTGCTGGCCAGGAGAACCAGCCAGCCAAGCCTTGGAGAAGCTATGAGTGTCTGGAGAAGCACACCCTGTACCCCCTGCCTCCCTGAGAACTTGGGTTAGGAAAAACCCAGGTGCCTGACCCATCCTCCTACACTGTGGAAGAGTAGCCAACATGGGAAGTTGCTGGGACTCAACAGCCCACTTATCCAGAGGAACCTAGGAAGATGAAGGAGCAAAAGGCAACCTTTAGCCTCCAGTCCAAACAGAGCAGGAGACATGGTCATGAAAGAAAGTTGCACTCCTGAAGTTTCTGGGATGATGGCAATTAAAGTAAAGAAAATACTTCATGAGGCTATAAAAGAAATCAGATCAGAAATAATATCTCAGGAATAAAAGAAATCACAAACATAATAAAAGAGTTGCTGAGTGTATCTAAAGAAGACATAGATTAAAAAATAGAGAATAGGAAAATAAGGAAAACTTTGAATGAACAATATGGAGAAGAATTGGGATGCATGAAACAGACTCAAAGAGCTATCCAGGAAATTAAAAACTCCATCAAAATCTGGCAAAGCTGCATGAAAGAAACTAAAGATAGACTTTCAGACCTTGAAAATTGGATCACAGCTAGTGATCATGAAAGGCAAGATCTCTTTAAAATAACAGGGAACCAGGAAATAGCAATTCACCTGCTGCAAGATGATGCAAAGACAAATTATTTAAGACTGATAGGTGTCAGAAAAAAAAGCAGGCATCAACACAAATGATGTAAAGAGACTACTTACAGAAGTAGTGCCAGAGAACTTATTTAGCATGGGAAAAAGAAGTGACATACAGATAATTGTAGTGTATCCAACTCCAACTAGCCATAACCAAAATAAATTACGCCCGGAAATATAATAATCATGTTCCCAGAAATTCAGCACAAAAGCAGAATATTAAAGGCTGTTAGAGAAAGAAAAAAGTTACCTATAAAGGAAAACTCAATAAAATAATGACAGAATTCTCATCCCAAACCGTCAAGTCAAAAACATCTGCGAGTGAAATATTTCAAGTCCTGAAATAAAAAAACTTTCAGCCCAGATTGATGTACCCTGCAAAACTATCTTTCAAAATTAATGTAGAAATAAGAGACTTCCATGACAAAAAAAAAAAAAAACTGAAGGAATTTGTTACCACCAAACCAACCCTACAAAAAGTACAGAAGAATATTCTAGAAAGAGATAAAGATGGCCATGGTTTTAGGAACAGCAGCACTGGGTGATCACCAAGTGGGGCTGGCAGTTGAGTGGAGGGTAAAAGTAGGGAGCCAATAGCAGGAAAAAAGCGTGGCAGGGATCTACCAGTGCACATTGGCTGTAATATTCATGTAGATGGCCTCAATTCACCAATAAAAAGAAGGAGTATATCAAGAAACAAGATCCATCAATATGCTGTATCCAAGAAACACATTAACTCAAAAGGGAATTGATGGACTGAAAGCCAAAGGAGAGAACACAATGCTCCATATGACAGGGAACCAGAAAAAAACCAAGGGTAACTTGCCCATCAATCACAGAATGGATAAGAAAGAAATGGCATTTTTATACAATGGGAAGCTATCAGCTGTAAAGAAGGATAATCACAAGGTTCTTTTAGGTAAGTGGATGCAACTTGTGCTCATGCTCTTGGGTGAAGTGATTGGGACTCACATAGGTGAACATCACATTGCCTCCCTAGTACTGAAGGAGTTAGTGGGATCCAAAATGTACCACAGATATTGTGAAAGTGAAAGGGGAGGAGACTTCTAAGAACAGAAGGTGGTAGCCATTGTTAATTCCCTATTATCTTGTTTTTAAAGTCCTGTATCATTTTCATTGTTTTGATTTGAATGGTTTTATTGTTTTGTATGGTTTGATTTTACTATATTTGATGACATGGGCAACTATTTCAAAGGTAACAAGATATATTATGGTAGCTGTCATGGTTCTGTCGGTGGCTCCCAGGCCTCATACATTTGCATTGTGCATTTGTGATTGTTTCGTTGACTAGCTTGGATTTATGGTGTCAGTGCTACACCCATAAATGGGTGGAGCCAGGATTTAATGTAATGGCAGGAAGAAGGTGTGTCTTGCTCTTTTTTTTGCGGGTTCCTGCCTTGCTGTTTGCAGCTGCCATGAACTGCAGCCCTGCCATGCCACCCTGTATGACTTGGAGCCAACTGAGTATGGACTGAAACCTCCAAAAACTGTAAGAAATAAATCTTTCTTTTCCCGACTTTGGTCATCAGATATTTTGTCTCAGTGATGATTGAAAAGTAACTAAGACAGTAGTAGCCACTACAGATTTCCTATTATCTTGATTTGAAGCCCTGTGTCACTTTCATTGTCTTGTTTTGATTGGTTTTATTCTGTTCTGTTTTGATTTGATGAGCTCTGATGGTCTAGACAGCAATTTTGAAGAAAGCAAGCGGCATTATTATGGCAGTCACTGTTGGTTTCTCACTATCCTGTTTGGAAGTCCTATATCACCTTCACTGTTTTGTTTGGATTAGCTTCATACTGTTTTATTATTTTGTTTGATTTTTATACTCTTAAAAATATTTTTAAAATAATTTTTAAAAACATCACCACTGATAGTATAGAAATACTAAGGATTGTGACAAATTACTATAAAAGACTATATGCCAAAGGTTTTGGAAACCTGCAAGTAACAGACAAATTTCTAAACCAAACAGCCTATAAAATTGTATCAAAAAGATTTTAAAATCTAAACAGCAAATAATGATTGAAATAAAAGAATTAATTTAAAACCTCCCAACTGTAAAAAGTCTAAGAGAGGATATTTTCACTTCCATATCTTACAAAGCATTTTTTTAAAAAAATGTTTTCAAACTATTCCAAATAATGAAGAGAAAGGTACTCTCCACGTTTCTTTTCCTTTTGAATATATTTTTTTATTACAAGTGTTAATATTCAAGCAGTTGGGAGCCAGGAAAAGATAGCAGTGTACTAAACACCACCATCAGCTTCAACCAAGCAGACACCAAACAACAGAAACATGAGAACATCAAAGGACCATGAGGCTTTCAGCAGCTGTGGCCCTTCAGATCAAAGATGCAATGGAACTAATGCCTCCAAAGTTTTGATAAGCCTTCTCCAAACTGACCCATAAATATAGGCAGACTCCTCGCTCCCCACACACTGGTATCCTGCTCTCTCATCCTCTAGTGACCCCCAGCCATGCGGACCTTCTCCTTCCTCACTGACCTTTTCCTGCTGGCCCTGCTGGCCCATGCTGAACCTCTCCCAGAGAAAACTGAGGATGTCCCAGAAGAGCATGACTCAGAGGAAGAAGACCACGATATGACCATCTCCTATGACCAGGCTGAGGGCTCTGGTCCTCAAGACGTAGGTGGGAGACCCAAGGGAGAGAGGTGCAGAGTCTAAAAAGGAAGGTCCAAAATCCTCTGTATCACTTATGCAACTGTATTTAACTCTTTGAACTTTAACTTAGTAACTGAAAAATTAAAGAATGAAAACCAAATGAATCGCGAGATGCTCTTCTTCCAAAGACATTCAACACTTTCTCCAAATCACTGTGTTTGACATAAGGACAGACATAGGGACTTTCTGAATCACACTAGGTATTCTTCCTTCTAGAGAGGATGCTAACCTCACTGCCTGCTAGAAGTCACTTTAAGCACTGGATGTGGTTAAGGGTGTAAAAGCGTCAGTTCAGTATAAGAGTGCTGGCCAGCGTCACACAGCTGTGAAGATGGGTGGGAAGTGGCCTCAGAGCCTGCTGGCCAACATGGCCACATGTTAGTTACTTACTTGCGAAGGTATTGCTCACATCGCTGGGCGCTTGGTGCCAGCGTGATGAAGCCATGCAGCTCAGCCTGGGCTGCCCTCAGGGGTCTGTTTCCCACCGCCTAGTGTCTCCGGTCCTCAAGGCTCCTCACTGCATCTGTTTCCCCAGGTCATCAAAATACCGTCCACTTGCTATTGAAGACAAGGTGGCTGTCGAGACCAGAAGAGGAACCTGCCTCATGGGCAACAAGGAGAGAGCCTTGTGCTGTAGCTGAGCATCCACAGCAGAGACAAGACCTCCTTCCACGTCCCCACAGTTTCTACTCTCCACTTGTCCCGCATGTTCATTCTCAGATAAATACCTTTCAGCAAGTTCCTTCTTCATGCTTCTTTATGTATGCTGTAGTCTCAGTCTGCCTTCTTTGAAGGATCTTAAGCAACAGCCTTTAAATGAAATCCTGGCTCCAAATACCAGAAATTTTAAGGATGCCAACAGGCACTGAACACAAAGTGGGAGGTCAAATGCAGCAGCTGTTGACCCCTCCGCATCTCCTACCTCGTGATGGGCTTTTCTCGGTCCCTGTCCATGCATGTTAAGTTCATACATCGCGTCAGCTTCACTTCCCACTGCTCCTTTACTCAGCCTGGTGTCTTCATAGAGCAAGGCCAGATGGGCCATTTGTGCATCAACCTGGGGCTGTATCAGCTCCGTTTAAATCATACTCAAAGTGGGATGGGTTTTTAAGAAAGGCATAGGATAATAAAAGCACAAAGCTGTGCTGTGCGATAGACATTACCATTATTAACAAGTCATGTCGCATAAGATAGGATTTGATATACACATGCAATCGTGTTGACAATCAGAAAATGCGGACGGACAGCCCCCAGCGCACTTTTCAGCATGCACTCTATTAAGTTGTCTCAGCTACTGAGAGCCTGCTGCTGGCTGGAAAGTGGAGCTTTGCAGGGCCTCATGAAGCGTAAACAATCCCAAAGCATTTCTGCTACCAACCAAGAGATTCTGTGCTGCTGCACAGCACTGTGGGTAATGCAGGCAGAGTCATGATGATGGTGACCTGAGACAAAGATAGCAGCAGAAAAACACCAAAGGTCTGCAGAGCCTGGGCGGGGTATGCCACAGCGCCCCCTGCTGCTCTGTTCCCACTGCTGCCCACCCCAACCTGTACACTGCGCGCTGGAATTCACTCCTGCCTCAGCTTGCCTTCCTCTTTGCATGCAGGAGCTCTGGGTCCTGTCTAAGCCCCGTGTCTCTGAAGTGGCCCCTGTGGGTTGTGCTGTGACTCTTCCTTCTGTCTGACCTCACTTTACCTTCCACGACCCTCAGGCACTTGTGCCACAAGTCTGTCACATGCTGACAGGTGGTATGGCCACTGGCTTCAGTACATCACCATGAGGATTCCATAGCAGAAATCTATGAAAAGAAGATGTCAGATCCATCCGCAGCTCTGCTTACAAGTTCTGTCACTGACAGAATGTCCTGGGAGGCGGAGAGCGACAGGAAACCTGCAGTGCACTGGGAAGAGACAGATTCAAGGGAGATTATTCACCATGCTTGACTAAAACGATCTGCTACACCCAGACATGGCCCCAACCACCAACATCAAATACTTTCTGAGACCCTCAGGAAAGGAATGTTTTGGCCCGAAGGCTTCTATGTTGTAAACTTGAGCAGGGTTGGGGTTATTGCCAGAACAGACCCAGGCCATCTGGCCTCTGGGTTCCCACCACTGTTTCACACAGATAAGGGCATCTGTCCTGCCTCCTCCAAATACAGCGTAGGGGCTCTGATCCTGCCTTACTGTTACAGCCTCAGGGCCACCCTCCAACTGTTCTCCTGATTTAAGGTTCTCCATACTTTTTGAGCCTTCATGGTCCCTAATGTCTTCAAGCATGAGAGCTGACTCCAAAAAAAATGGAATCTTCTTGGGCCCTTCTTAATTATGTGCCACACTGTTAATCTTTAACATTCTAATTGATGAACTCTTTGGAGGTCTTAAAACCAAAAGCCATGGCTGCCATGTTATTTCCAATGTGTGCTAGACCTATATCTTCAAGTGAGTATATTTCCTCCAAGGTAAAATAAGATGATATATTTTGGGTTTCAGTATCAACATCCCATTCTTGGGATAGGTATCTTATCATTTAATTTTGATATCATTTAATACTCTAAGCCCTTATGGATAATCCTTCATACAGATTGTCCTAAATAATCCATAGGAAAGCACCAGGAATTGAACACACAGGGTATTACATATTACATGGACAAGGACCCTGAAATGTAGGCAAGATGTGCGTTTACACAGGGTCTCACTGGTCAACACCAGAGGCTCCCAAATTACCTAAGTTCTCTGGAGAAAAGAATGGCTGTGCCTTCTCTGGGCAGCCAGAGTTGCATTGGTCCTCACTCGACATCCATTAACTCATGAATTCAGCTTCCTTCATGGACGTTCCTTTGTCCTTGAAACATCTTATTTGTCATTTAGGGTTCTGAGACCCAGAAATCCCACTTAGCCCAGGGAAGCAAACTTGATTCCTCTAACTGGGCATTGTCAATTGCTGTCTACTATGTGCTACTGCAGGGTCATTGCTCAGTTTTCTGGAGAGAAGGTCCTTCTGCACCAAGAGTACTGTACCATCCAAGGACCCAGTCAGTGTCTAATGACTGAGGACACTTCAGTGTGCAAATAACAGAGAATACAAAAGAAAGCTCTGGTCCTGAACAGATCGCACTTGCATCTCTAGATTCTCCTACATGCTTGCCCATTATTTAAGGTCAGACCTGCGAGAGGAAGGTGTAGTAAACAGAGAATGACAGGGAGCAGAAATGAAGTCCTCGTGCCTGTGAGACATGCCTACATCTCACGGGGTCACAGGAACCTGATACTTACCAGGGACTCAAAGAATAAGCTTTTCACTTCAGTATTTACATTTATGCAAGTTTAGGGGAGGGGGATTTGGAAATACAGTACACAAAGCTCCCATGCTGTCCCTGAAGCCCTCTGGTGTTCTGCCAATGTAGGATTTCCACTTATTCCACATACTCCCTCTCTTCGTGTGAGCCTGTCATTTCCTGGTGCATTATCACACAAATCCTGATAACCATCCCTGTTCTTAATAAATATTTACCTCTGGCCATATGGATTACTTGTGTTAATTTAAAGTGGATTGGAAATTCTTGTTTTTTCAAGGGTAGACCTCACAATCCTTAAATGTTGGTAGAGCCCTGAAAATCACGAACACACATAGCCCTCTTGCCTACATCAGGGTATGTGGGTAAGAGCTCCAGGCCGGTGTGCCAGTTTCTTCTGTGTACAAGTGGGGTACGTGGCATGAGATTCTATAACTCACCGAGGCGAGAAAAATTTGGGCGGCAAAAAGACACTTTCATGAACAACTTTGCTTCTTTTCTTGGGTAGATACATTAATTTCCACTCACATAAATATTAGAGAATGCATTAGCACACTATGAATGTCTGCATTCACATTGACCCCTTCCAGGGATGAATGTGGGGGCTCCACAGCTCTCTCATGCTGTGTGGACTTTCAGTGGAAGCTGTGTGGCCATTGCTTCTCTGAGGATAAGGGAGAAAGAGCCTGTTTCCAAACTGTTTGGCTGCTCCAGAAAGGTAAATCAATATTAAGATTCCATCACAATCCAGTAAGCATGGTGTAAAAATGCTGAAAAAATTGTCGGAGGAAAAAGAACTCCTGTATACTATTAATGGGAATATAAATTACTATGATTAATACAGAAAAAGGAAAGAGATTCCACAAGAAATGAACATTAGAAATTGCATTTGACCTAGCTATACCATTTCTAGTTGTCTTCCTGAGGGAGTTAGAGAGAGAGAGGGAGGGAGGTTGGGAGGGAGGGAGAGAGAGAGAGAGAGAGAGAGAGAGAGAGAGAGAGAGAGAGAGAGAGAGAAGCAATGGAAATGGGAGGGAAGGGGAATGGAAAGTAAAATAATTGATAAACATTATATACAAGGACCAGTTATCCATCTCCAATCTCCTGAACAATTGTACAGTGAAGGCCTAAATAAATGAGACAAGTGGTGTGATTTTAGGTCTCCAGGAGGCTCAGAGTTCAAGACTCTAGGGGCTGAGACAAAGAGCTTCTAAGGATGGCCCGTATTTATTGGGTTTTCAAACAAAAGAAGGGATACTGAGGAAAGCTTGGAAACTGAGAAGGACCTTGGGAGTCACTTCAATGTCTTCTCCAATTAGTAAATCATGCCAATTTTAGGAGACCCATCTTAGCTCCACGATGACATTTATGGTAGGAGTGAGACTGCAGGAGTGAGATGTTTGCAGCTGCAGTCTCTCTCTACTTAACTGATGTTTGAGCCAGGTGTCCTTGCTGTGGCCATACCTTGTCCTTTAGGTGCCACTGGCATCACAGGCCACTACAGGCCTCAGCCAGGGCCAGTGATTCAGTGAACCAGGGCCAAGGTTCACTTACTATGGATCTGTTGCCCATGTTCAGACAAGAGGCCTCGGCTGCGCCAGACTCACAGATAAACACAGAAAGACAGTTTATTTAAATCCTCAGAGCTGCTTCATCGTGGTCTCCATCAATTCTCTTTGCGAAATGTAATCATTTCATACTACAAACACATACTACGTAAAAAAAAGAACTGAAAAACAAAGTTTATCCCACAGAAATCTTCTCTCAGGCCTGATAGCATCAAACTATCAAAACTTAAGTACATTAAATTCTATGAGCAGCAAAGGAAAAGCATGAGTCACACAGTGAAATTCATTGTCACATATTTCTCAGCAAAAACCTTACACTCTATGGGAGAGTGAGTCAAAATGCTGAAAGGCCAAAACCAAACCTGCCACTCAAGAATTCTACATCTAACAAGATTATCCTCAGAAGTTAAATAAAAAATAAAAAGGAAAAGAAGGAAGAGTATTTGCAAACAGTAGCATCAAGAATTCATGACCATTAGATTGACCCAGTAAGAAGTGTTTAATAGAATATTCAATCACAATTGAAAGGAAGATATTTGCTACTGTATAAACAGCAAACCACAGTGACACTGTAAATTCATATGCAAGTTCAAATAGTCCAGTACATTAATAAATAAAGATACATAGTTATGCAAATTGCCTTTATAAAGGTTTAAGGTGAACATGGCCACAATAATTATTTCTAATTAAATTGTCGAGGCATACCAAAAATGTAGTGATCTACAGGAAAGCAACAAAATAATGAACCATGACTGAAGAGTAAATACAAAATGGTTATAGTTAACAAAATTAAGATGTTTAGCATCCTAAAAGTGTGTATTTTAGCTACAAAAGTTTGTAGGAAGCCCAAAGGAAATAACAAGGAAAACAGTAGAACCTACACACAAATATTAAAAATCAAACAACTAATTCCTTTCACTACTAAAAGCCACCAAACCACAAAGTGAAGAAGAAAGCAACTAACAATGTAATACAGAGCATTCAAAAGACTGGTAACAAAATGGCAAGTGCAAGTCCTTACCTACAGGACTTGCAATAATCATCAGTGAAGGAAATCATTCAATGAAAAGATACAATTAGGGGAAAGGATTTTTATAATGGCACCTTTGTAGTACCTACAAGGAATTAACCTCAAAGACTCACAGAGACCAAAAGAGAAAGGATAGGAGACGGTATTCCAGGAAAATGGAAAAAGAACAAGACAAGGAATACACTTTTTAAAAAATCTTTAAATAAAATGTGTAGGAAAACAAAATAAGCAATCACAAAATGTTAAATGCATCAATTCTGTGAGAGCACATACCAATTAAAAATGTATATGCAGTCAATACCAAAGAACCCAAATACTGACAGACTTCAGGAGAGAGAAACCATAACAGAAAGATAATAGAGAGCTTCAAAACCCCACTTTCATCAAAGGACAAGTGCTCCAGACAAAATCATCTGAGAAGTAATTGATTTGCTCTAATTCTAGGCCAAGTGGGTTTAACGTGCATTTAGAGATCCCTCAACTCAACAGTAGAAGGACACACTTTCTTATCAGTAGCATGTGGAAACTCAACGCTATAGGTCACATACTAGGTCACAAAACCAGTTAGAGGCACATTGTTTATACCTGAAATCATATCAGTTTTGTGTTTTCAACACAGCACAATTAACTGGAAATCAACACAAAAATCACCAGAAGGAAGATTTGGGGAAAAATGCACAAATATGGAAATGAAACAGCAGACTCTTCAACGGCAGCATCATTAATTGCATTAGAAGAATGCTGAAGAAGTTTTTGAGACAAATGGAAACAAGAAACACAATGTATTATACTTAAAGAATAAACACACAGCTGAAGTAGCTCTGTTCTCTGAGGTAGCAGACAACAATACAATCCTACTTTAAATAAGTAATAGGATCTCAATAAGATCTCCCCAATTGTTTTAACAAGAACAATTAAAGCACAAAATCAAAATTAATAAAACTAACATAAAGTAGACCCCAAATTAAAAAATAGAAATTTAACATGCATATAAAAGTTCAGTGAAACATTGTATGACAATACCACATCTTTTTATCCATTCCTCAGTTGATGGGCATTTGGGTTGTACATAAATAACTTTATGCATGCATATGTATGCAAAATAGATAGCTATATTACTACTCTCTGTTAGCTCATCAAAAAGAATGGTTTGTGCTGTCATTGTTTGATGGTTTGATCGTTTTTATGCCTAGATCTTGTAATTTGAACTACTTCTAAGATAACAGTATGCAATACATTAACTTGTGTTAATTTCTTACTATTTTTTAAAAATTCTGTATCATTAGTATCCTTTTTTCTGTTTTGCTTTTTAAAATAAAAAAGTTCAGTTTAACAAACAATGGCATATTGTTAAATAATATCAACATCTAGCAGACTAAGAAATGGAAAGATTCCAATAAGTAAAATCAGAAGTGAAAAAGTAACCTTATAAATGACACCAAAGAAATAATAAGAACCATAAGAAATTTCTATGAAACACTATATTGCAAAGGTTTCAAAAACATAGAGGACAATGAATAAATTCCTGGACACAGCATAATACAAAGACTGAATCAGCAGAAATAAAAACCTAAACATTCCTATTGAAATGAGGGAGGAAATTGACCCAGTATTCCAAAATTCCCACCAAAGAAATCTGAGATAGGGATGAGAAGTCTTCACTGCAGCGTTCAAAAAAGCATTTAGGTAAAGCTAACCACAACTATTTCCAAATTATTCCATATATGGAAAAAAAGAAAAATAACCCTCCAGTTTCTTTTCATGCAAAACTCGGTACTGAAGCAGATGGGAAGCAGGAAGAAAGAAGCACCCTCAATATCAGCTTAAGCATCAGACCAGCACAGATGACAAACAGAGAACCCAGGGACGTCAAAGGACCATGAGGTCAGTGCCAACCCTCGCCCTCCAGATCAAACACACATCTTCCCTCACTCTGCCCTCGGTCTCCCAGCCTTCTCCTGACTCTCCCATAAATACCAGGGACTCCTCACTCCCCACACACTGGGATCCTGCTCTCCTCCAGTGACCTCCAGCCATGCGGACCCTCGTCCTCCTCACTTCCCTCTTCCTGCTGGCCCTGCTGGTCCAGGCTGAGCCTCTGCCAGAGAAAGCCGAGGATGCCCCAGAAGAGAAGCAGTCAGAGGAAGAGGAACTGGATATGACTTTTGAAGGAGCGGAGAGGTCTGGTCTTCAACACAGAGGTAAGAAGCCCAATGTGATGGAGGCGCTGCGCCTAGAGGGGAGGGTTCAGAGCGGGGCTATGGTCCAGAATGCTCTATATCACCTCCACAACTAGACAGGTATTTAACACTGCAGGCCTTTTCCTCAGTAAAAACTGACACATGAGAGCAAATAAATCAAGAAGAGTTCTTCTGAGACTTTCCACGCCAAGGCATGTCTGAAGTTCTCAGGGTTTAATTATAGACAGGTGTACACAGAAACTATTCCTTTATCTAGATTATTAGATGTGGTTGCACAGTAGGTACTGCTTTTTTCCAGAAGTTGTTAGAAACCTGAGTTAGCTGTAAGCTCCCATTCCACAAATGCCCTGTTGGGAGGACATAGCTGTCACTACTAGCTGGAAAGTTTCTCCATGGGGGGAAGGCGCCTCCAGCCATGCTTCCTCCTCTCCCTCATTGCTGAATTCAGGGGAAGGGAGGGGAGGTGACAAACCTGCCCTGACTGTGCTCGAGGTTCTCCGAGGACCCCTCTGCTGACCCTGTACTTAGAGTCTGCCACTCTTTTTTTTTTTCATTTAAGGAGAAAAAGGAAAAAAAAACAGAAAAGGGGTACAAGTAATATAAAATTTAAAAAATAAACAGTAAGGGGCTGGGGATTTAGCTCAGCAGCATAAGCGCGTGCCTTGGAAGCAGGCAGTCTTGAGTTCGATCTCTGGTACCGATAAAAAAAAGAAAAAGACAAAAATAAAAATAAAAATAAAAATAAAACAGTAAGAAATCACTAGTTAGTAGATTACATATTCTCATCTTAGAAATAGTTGATCAGTTACAAAATTGAAGCACATAAAGTGGACTTTTAAACAGTGAGAGTGCAAACAGTTTTGTTCAATGATCTAAAAAACACTCAGTAATATGGTTATCTATCTTATACACTTAAACATATATGCAGTTATAGCCTTTAGAGCACTTTCTTTTCTTTTCTTTTGTACAATGACAATTACACATTTTGGGTTTTATTACTCCCACAGTTCTTATTACTTTTTTTGAAGAGAGTAAAACCAAATGCGACATATCAGAACAGAGTCAGTCAAATCAAAAGGATGGACATAATAGATAATGTAAAAACAAAATATAAGGAGATCAACAATGGTTACCATACTGTCTGTTGCTATTTTAAGAATTGGCAGTTATAATAAAATTGAACTAAACAGGAAAGAATAAAACCAAAGCATTGGAGACATTACAGGGTTTTAAAAGAAAATAATAGTCAATCGGAATGGGCGTCATAATGATTCTTATTGTCTTCACAGTTATGCCTATACTTTCAACCTTGGTACTATCAAGCAAAGCAGAATAGAGGAAAATCAGTCAAAACAAGATGCTGAGAGCAATACAGGATTTCAAATCAAGTTAATAGGAAATCAAAGTAGGTTACTATAATGTATCCTGCTATTTTTTATTTATTTTCCCTTAATTAAAAAAATAAAAAGAAAAAAGTAAATAATCTTTAAAAAGGGGGGAATTGAGATAAAAGAGGGCATAACAGCAGAACAGCGCAGGTCAAATCATAACCATTTAAGCAAAACAGTGTTTCACTACATAGAAATAGTTACCATAGTGTCTCTTTCTTTGAAATCTTTGAGTATAACTTCTTATACTGTAGCACCAAACATATCAAGACAATGTAAAACCATTCAAGAGAATGACATTATTACAGGGGATTTAGAACCAGCTAACAGAAAATGAACCATGGTTTCTGTATAATCTCCTTGTGTATAAAAGCTTTTGCTTATATTATCACATATAATAAAATCCAATAAGATACAACATGTTAAGACCGATGGAGACAGAAGAATATAAGCTTGATGGGACTTCAAAACAAGATGATACTAAATCAGCACTAGCTATTATGATGTCTTGTTTTCTCCAAAATAGCTGTTCCTACCTTCCAATCTCCTCTGCCTCATTTCTGTTGAGCTCTTTTTCTGTTGTTTGTTGTCAGTTTGTCATTGTTCATTTCGTTTTCTGCTCCATTCATTGTGGCCTCTGCCACTATTTCTGGAATCTTGGTATTTTCTTTTTTTAGACTATTCTGCAGTATTCTCTGTAGAGTTGAATTAGTGGTTGCAAATTCCCCTAGTTCCTCTTTATCCTGGAAGCATCTTGTTTTTCCATCAATTTCTAGGGACGGTTGTGCAGGATATATCAATCTTGGCTGGAGGTTATTATCTTTCAAAGCTTGAATTATTTCCCCCCATGCTCTTCATGATTTGATGGTTTGTGCAGAGAAATCTGCTGTAATTCTGATGGGTGTTCCCTTGTAAGTGGTCTGTTTCTTGTCTCTGACGGCTTTTAATATTCTGTTCTTATATTGTATTTCTGGAATTTTGATTATTATATGCCTGGGTGTAGCTCTGTTTGGGTTGTAGGTGGCTGGTGTCCTGTATGCCTCATATGTCTGAATATCTTTACCATTTGCCAAATTAGGGAATTTCTCTTGGATTATTTCTGTGAATAGCTTTTGTAGTCCATTTGTTTGTGTCCCCACTTCTTCTCTTATGTTCTTTTTTTTTTTTTTTTGTCTTTTTTTTGTTTTTATCAGTACCAGGGATCGAACTCATGACTGCCTGCTTGGAAGGCAGGCGCTTATGCCACTGAGCCAAATACCCAGCCCCTCTCTTATGTTCTTAATTCTTAAGTTATAGATCCTCTTATCATCTTCTAGTTTTTGTATTGTTGCTGTTTGGTTTTTTTTTGTTATTTTTAAGAAGTTTTTCATTTCATGCTCCCATATTACAAATCTGCCCTCCAGTTCAGATAATTTGTCCTTAGTTTCTTTCGAGCTGTTATGCCAGTTTTTGATAGAGTTTTTAGTTTCCTGGTAATCTCTTTGAACCTGCTTCATGTATTCTATGTTTTCTCTATCTTCTTCATCAAACAATTCTCCCCTTTTTTTCTGTTCTTTCATTCCACCATCTGTTTTTTCTTGGGTGGTGCTTAGCATTTTTCTAACTATTCTGCTTATGTCTTGCTTCAGGTCATTAATAACTTCATTCCTGAACTCGTCTATGAGACTCTGGAGATAGGGCTTTATATCTATTGGTGCCGTGTCTGCTATTGCGTGTTTCTCAGGATTGGGGGCCGAGGACCCTTTCTTGTTGCTCCCTCTTCCCATATTCTTTGTTCCTTATATTTAAGCATGTATAGGAGGCCCAGCTTCCTGCCCTGTCAGCCACAGTCTGTTTGAATTGCACCGGCTAGGTGTTCCCACCCACTGCAGTGTACTAGGGAGACACAGACCTGGGCAGCCTCTGCTGGCCCATCCCTCCAGGTCAACCTACCGCAAGGATTCACCTCTAGGGTGCACCTTCAGGTGCTGGGACCTGTTTGGGCTAGCCTATTGGGTCTCAGTCAATGGTGTCTCACAGGCCAGGCACTCCCCACCAATCCCACTTGAGAGGGGGATATGTGACTAAAGTCACTGCAGCTTCTTGTTCCGGGAAGTGCTCTGTCCGAGTATGTCCTCTGCTGAAGCCTCCTTCTCTGTGTAAGGGTCCCGATTCACTCACTCACCGCAGGTCGATGCAGGGCACCCACCCAGTCCTGCTCCCAACTCCTTTCAACACTTCCCACTCTCTGAGCTTTTGCACCTCTCTCCCTGCTGTGCTGACCAGGATGCAACAGCGGCTGCAGGTAATTCAAATCGCAGTTTCCAGTGGGGTGGGTCTAGCTTCTGTGCTGAGACCTTATCTGTGCCTGCTGTCTCACCAGGATTGCGTTTCCAGATGGTTTCTCTTAATTTAGTTCCTTCCTGCGTCAGCAAAGAATATCTCCCCTTGCCTGGGACTTCCTGTCCAGCACCATTCCTAGATTTCAAGTGCAGTTTCTCCGAGAGCCTCAGAGGCTGCTGCTATCTGTCCGCCATGTTCTCTGAGTCTGCCACTCTTTCTGTGTCCCCAGATCAGATCCTCACTTGCCGCTGCAAATTTGGAAGTTGCCGTCCTCCAGAAACCAAATATGGAACTTGCTACAAGAATGGTAAAATGGCTAGACGGTGCTGTAGCTGAGCATCCAGCAGAGCAAAGAAGACATTTCATGCACCTTCAAAACTATCAGAATCTTTATTCTTCCTGCTTCATCTCCATGTTCTTCTCTTCCTCTATCTCCAAAACATTCCTGAAGTAACCTCTGTGTGCGTGTTATGCATCTGTGTCTGGACCTCAGATAGCAGAATGTGAAAGGATGGGATTTTACATAAAGCCCAGGCTCCATGTTTGAGGAAATACAGAGAGGAAGACAGGCTTCCTGTACCAGAGGAGAAACCTGGCTGCCGAAGAGAGGCTTGATGTTCCTCTCCCGCCCAGCCATTGCCTTCTTTATCACAGGACTCGGTCTGGAGTCTTTGCCAGGATGCATCAGGGTCACTCACCCTAACTGTCCTTCTCAGGAAGCCACTGCTCCAGCCCAAGGATGACATTTAATTAAATGGCTCGAGACAAATATTTGTCATTGAAGCCCTGGGCTTGGATCAGCTCCACTAAAACACATTCAGAGTGTAGCGGGGTTGTAACACAGATAGAGAGAGCAGAACACAGCACAGCACCAGCACAGGGGCACTGTAACCATTAGCACTACGAGAATGTGACACCCAGGATTGGGGGGGGGGTTGGAAAGTGTCAGCCATAGGATGAGTGTGCAAATTTTAAAACTTCACTGTAGTAAAAGACACACTGTCACCCCACCCTTCAAAACACTCCCCTGTCCTTTGAACACACTCACCAGTCCTGCCCGCATCTCACAGGAGCACAGGGCTTCTGGAAATTCATCATCCTGAGGATGCCCAGTTAGTACTGCTATCTTCACAGCCTCAGTGTCCTTAATGGAACCCAAAGCTTTCCCTCCCTGGGCATCTAGATAAGGAGAGGGCCTCAGGGAGGAGGGTTCCATTCATGGAGGAAAGTAGGGAGGACCCACTGGGAAGAGGTACTAGCCTGCCTTTCTGTTGGAAGGAACCATGTGGTTCCTACATTTTTGTCACAAGACACCCATGAAAGAGAACTTGGAGAAAAGCTTCAGGAAAAGGCCAGACTGATGCAGAAGTGTATTCAAGGAGAAGGGGATTCTTTCGAGGCAGTTACAGGAAATGTGCTTCTACTGTAATCACTTTTAAATTACCCTTTTACCATGATTTTATCACTTATCTCCCACTCAGCTTCACAAAGGGAAAACACAGAGAAGCAACCCGCAGGTGCCCCCTGTAGCCTACACTCTCTAGGGCCTGGGAAACACGGGTTCCAAGGTACTCCAAAGCAAAGATGCAAAAAGCAGCACTGCATCCAAGCCCGAGTCCCTGGAGCCACTGCAGCCCTCGATGCTGGGGTTCTGAGGGGGTCGCACATGATGGTCATGGGTGCTGTGGGCAGGGACTGGGTCTGCACCATGGACAGCAGCATGGCGCCCCCAAGCACCTCAGTCTCTATTTGGGTCAGCCTTAGTGCCCCCACCCACTCCGCCTGGTCCCCAAGGCTACTGCTGTGCACTCTTAGGGGATTCGGGGAGCTGGAGTCCATGTCCCTCTTCCCACACAGGGGTCAGGGTGGCGTCTACCCTCATGGTGTCTCCAATGAGCCAGCCTGGCATTCCTGGTGTGGTGCAACTCTTCCTCCTGACTTCCCCGCCCCTCCCCTAATCCCTAACCCCTGGACCATTTTCCAGTAGATGTTCTCAGAACCTGAGCAGAAACCTGCAGGGCATGTCCACAGGAACTAAGGCAGATAGATGGTCTGCAGCTGGGGCTCCCAGCCAGGTTTGGACAGACAGTTCTGCAACAGCCCTGGTCATCCTGGTTGGGTTGCTCCCTGAAAAAACCCCGATGGAACTTACATTGACAGCGAAGCTGCGTCCTGAGGGAAAGAGGCAGTGTCCTAGAGGGCTGTTCATCACACCAGACCAAATCTCTCTGTGAGCGCACAGAAAGCAGAGATTTCCGACCTCAGAGTCACTGTCCAGAACCAGCGACAAAACATCATCCAGACTCTTCTGTTCCTGTGTTCCATGCATTCTGACTGTGAAGTGGTCCCAGCCTCGCAGCGGGGTTCACTCAGCCTACAAACAACCCTCAGGACACAGACCGGGGCCAAAAGCAAGATAGAAAATTCCAGATACCAAACAAAAACACTGTAGAGCTTCCACATAGACTCTTTTGCTGTATCTCCACCAGGCGGACCTAGATGATTTCTGGTTCAATAATTGATAAACTACTGTAAACACATAGCCACACTTCAGAAATAGAGAATATTTTGCCTTGAATAGAAAACATGGGGGAGGTTGAGCAGCCTGCAGTAAGTATCTCTGCACAATGCCCAGAACCGAGGGAGTCTGGGATCCTTGCTCAGCCTGGCCAGGGAACTTTGCAGCGTCCTGCTGCACTGGACCAGCTCAGCAAGTCTTGAGCCCATCTGTAATAACTGCCCGTCCCATGCTGTGCTTGGCAGATTCTGGGATCCCTGGCCTGCCAGCACCCTAAATTCTGGAAACGAGGCAGCCTGAGGTGAGTGACACTGCACCATCCCAAACAGGGAGTTTGGGATTGTTGCTCCTACCAGACAAGAAACTTCATTTGCAGCTTCCTGACACACTCAGCCTGTACCACAGGGCTTGGGCCTGCCTGCCCCACCCCCAGTGTCCCTCTTTCAATCCAGGGAACTGGGTGGCCAGAGTCCCAGGAGCTGAGGGCATAGAAGAGGATTTCCAACAGGCCCTGGGGAAGTCTTGGAATAACACTTGAAACATGGAAATAGAAAAAAATGACAAAAGGAAAGACCAAAATGTAATCTCAAACCTCCAGCCCATCCCAAGAAAACCTAGGAGCTATGTACACAGAAGAAAATATATGCATACACCTGAAATACCTGACATAATAGTGACTGAAATAAAGAAGCAGCTCTGGGAAGCTTTAGGGAATTCAAACTAGAAATAATCTCCCAGGCAAAAGAAGAAATGATAAAAGAAATGAAGGAGATGCTAAGCATATCTAAAAAAGACACAGTTAAAAAATTGGAGGAATTAAACAAAAAAGATAGAATCCCTGGATGAACAATATAAGAAACAAACAGAATACATAAAGCAGATGCAAAGAGGTATACAGGAAATCATAAATTCCACTAAAAGTTGTAAAAACTGTTTCAATAAAAGTGAAGGTAGAATTTCAGACCTTAAAGACAAAATTGCAGCTAGTGAACAGGAAAGGAAAGATCTTTTAAAAATAACAAGGAATCAGGAAATAACAATTCAACAGCTGCAAGATGATGCAAAGATAAACAACATAAGACTAATACGGATAAATGAAAAAGAAGGGAACAAAATAAAGGATGTCAAGAGGATATTTAGAGAAGTAATAGCTGAAAATTTCCCAAACATGAAAATGGAAACTGACATCAGGATCAGTGAAGCATACAGAACTCCAAATAGCCATAATCAAAATAAAACTACACTCAGACATATAATAATCACCACCCCAGAAATCCAAAATAAGAATAGAATATAAAAAGATGTCAGGGAGAAAAAGATCACCTATAAAGGAAAACCTATCAGAATCACAGCAGACTTCTCAGCACAAACAATAAAGTCAAGAAGAGCATGAAGTGAAGTATTTCAGGTCCTAAAGGAAAATGATTTCCAACCCAGAATGATGTACCCTGAAAAACTGTCCTTCAAAATGGATGGAGAAATAAGATGCTTCCATGACAAAGAACAGCTGAAGAACTTTATGATCACCAAGCCAACCCGGCAAAGAATACTGAAAGGCAGATTAGATACACTTAGGAAAAATCCACTAAGCAAAGTAGGCATTTAAACAGAATGGAAAGATAAGGATGCAACAGCAGAAAGATAACATGTGAACAATAAACCAACATAAACAGTTATAACCATTAATGTAAATGATTTCAATGCACCAATTAAAAGAAACAGATTGGCAGAATGGATCAAGAAGCAACATCCAACCATATGCTGTCTACAAGAAACCCATCTAACCCAAAGGGATACTCACAGAGTGAAGGTCAAAGAATGGAAAACAATACTACATGTAACAGGAACCCAAAAAAAGTGGGAGTAGCTATTCTGTTTGCAGACAATGTGAACTTCAAACCAATAATGATCAGAAGAGGTAAAGAAGGTCATTACATACTAGTTAGGGGAAAACTTCAAGAGTAAGAGATAATAATCTTAAATATATATGCACCAAATTCCAGAACACCCAGTTATACAAAGCAAGTATTAACAGAAATGAAAAACCAAATTAGCAGTAACACAATTCTAACAGGAGACCTTAAGAAACCATTGATACCAAGGGACAGATCAATCAGACAGAAAATCAGCAAAGAAATAACAGAACTGAATCACACCTGTGAACAAATGGACTTGATAGACATGTACAGAGTGTTTTATCCAACAACATCAGAATACACATTCTTCTCAGCAGTACATGGGTCATTCTCTAAAATAGAGTATATATTAGCCCACAGAACATACTTAACTAAGTGCAAAAGAGTTGAAATTATCTCATGTATGTTATTGGATCATAGCACCATAAAATTAGAAATTACTGATAAAAGATACTACAAAAATCCCACAAACACATGTAAACTGAATAATGCACTCTTGAGTAATCAGCAAGTCACAGAGGAAATTAAAGAAGAAATTAAACAATACCTACAAGTAAACGAAAATATAAATACAACTTACCGGAATCTGTGGGATGCAATGAAAGCTCTCCTCAGAGGAAAATTTATTGCACTGAGTTCCCACATCAGGAAAACAGAACCAATACAAATAAATAACCTGATACTATACCTTAAACATCTAGAAAAAGAAGAGCAAGTCAAGACCAAAACCAAAAGAAGGAAGGAAATTATAAAAATCAGAGCAGAAATCAATGCAATAGAGACTAAGAAAACAATCCAAAGAATCAATGAATCAAAGAGCTTGTTCATAAATAAAATTGATAAGCCCCTAGCCAACCTTATTTTAAAAAGGGAACAAACAGCTCAAATTCATGCAATAAGGAATGAAAAAGGCAAAATCACTACAGATTCTGTAGGCATACAGAAGATCAACACCTATTTCGAAAACGTCTACTCTCAAAGATTTGATAACACAGAAGAAATAGACAATTTCCTAGAAAC